TTCATGTTACTCACTCATAAATATAAATTGCTTTTATATTTTCTTATTTATTTTCCCCAGGAAGGCAAATGCCATGAGGGCGCCAAACCCCAGCAAGTCGTATATCTTAGAGGTAACCGACTCTTTACTACTGGTTTCTCTCGTATGAGTGAGCGTCAATTTGCACTTTGGGATGATTCCGACTTGTCTAAGCCGCTCATGGTTGAAGATCTAGATACTTCTAATGGTGTCATCTTCCCTTTCTATGATCACGACTGCCACATTATTTATCTTTGTGGCAAGGTAATTCGATAAAATACGTTCCTTACTTTTTTCAATCTGTTAACTTATTAGACTCTTTTTGTTTTTAATAACATTGATATATGCTTTAATTGCCCATTTTTTCTATCTATGATAATTTTATACCTACTGTTCACCTTCGGCTTTACAAAGTAACATCATTAAATTAAATAACATTAAGAAACTAAGATATTATATCTTCCTTTTGGTCTTTTTCACCTTTTGCTGTAGTAATTTGGTATGACATCGTTTAGTAAAGGGACCAAGAATGGTGCACCTCGTCTGGCGTCCTCTGTCATAGTAGTCATGAGGATTTCCAGCATCAGACCTTGGATATGGTACATTGCCAAACTTGTTGCGTGCATCATCAGTGAGCATCCGTGAGTACTTAATCAAAGCAAGCAGTAACACAACATTTGTGGGTTGGCACACAAGAGACTAGGGCATGGCAAGTCATAGACTTAGTAGTAGAGATAGAGACAGGATCGACGCGGTGGCGATTGGAGCTAGTTGGCTGATAGTAGGTCTGTTTTTACCATAGACGTGGTCGTTGTAGCAAAGGCGTGACCATGAGACTTTTTCAGAAGCTTTAGCCTCGAATTAATCACCCAGACGCAGGGATGTCAAATAACGCCTCGGGCAGCACAGATGAGGTGACAGGGGTCGAGTGAAACACGTGAACGAGGCAGAGGGTAGACGGATCTTACGGGACAAGAGAGAGATTGTGATAATACTTAGGGAAGGAGGACTGCGTAACAATATGGCAGACTGATCAAAATGTCCAGTCCAAGGATGAAGTGGATGAGGACGCCAGCGTGAAGTTTCAAGGATTTTTATGAATGCCGCTCAAAGGATCACACCACAATACATCGAAATAAGCACGGTAAAAAGTGTAACAGTGAAAGCGTAATAGGAGGATATAGAGATGTGAATAGCCCAAGCCAGAAGGGGAGATACCACAACTGTTTAGCACACGTTTGGTTAAAGGATCGGCTTCACTTGTCTCTGACGAGTTGTTGTGTGTTGCTACGAGTGATGAGACTCACTGACGATGCCGACTACGATACCGGCGTAGCGTCTGGGAATCTAGCACGTTAACGGTCCGACTTTGGAAATGATCATGTATACAATGGACTCCGGACTAAGTGCATTCCACTAAGTCTTCCTACCAATATGACCAAGTTGCGAAAACAAGGTTAAACAACCGCTATACAACAAAAGGAGACAGCGACCACACAAAAGGCCACATCGTCTTGGTCTTCATACCTTCGATTATACTGCAATGTTTTTTGCTTATTGTAACCAGTTACTTTTAAACAGCTTACTTTTAGTTGATGATGTTTAGTGTTGGATTGAGCTCGTTTTTGTTACAGCGTCAAATAAAAGTGAGACCTTTTGGAACGTACACAGTTCTGCGCCATCTGCCATAGTATTAATGATGGAATCTAACTGTATATTCATAGACTTCACAGGAATCATGAATTAACGATAATAATATCCTTTCTTAACGCACAGTTACAACTCATTCAAGTGACAAGTGAAGGGAATTCTGGCAAATTTTTCGTTCTGGCTTCTTTCCTCCTCCCAGACATATCTTCAAGCCCTATATACTCATCCCTCAGCCCCACTTTATATGGTCAATTTACCTATTTTCCTCTATCTATGCCTTTGTTTGCTCTAGTGCCGCATATAGGTGCCACTTAAAGTGGAATTATCAAAGTGTAATTGCATTCACCACCGGCTTTAGGCCAATCGCAGTGCTTCTAAAACCTACTAACACTCATACTTGCTAACAGTTCCCTGCTTAACATTAACGTAATTGTCTTATCTAACTGGCTCCCGTTTACCCCATGGTTTTACGTGGAGAATTTATTCGCATAACTGGCCCCAAAAATTTGATATGAAATGTATGATAGTCTTAACAAAGGCCACTTTCGAACTGTGATTCTCACTTATGTAGTCTCCTATGGTTAAAAAAAGAAGTTATCCTCTTTTCCACTACCCTATTATTTCATTCTCTGGGGCCATGTGCCTTGCCTTATTTAAAATTTATAGTATGAAGATATATCGCTTTACTTGTCTACTTCAGAGTCAAGTAAAGCACACTCTTGTTCTATCACGATATCAGTCTCACATAATTCTGGGGTTCTACTTACTTCGGTGCGTGTATTGGTTACTGAATCTGCATGCTCGCAGTGTAGTCAACCGCCTCTCACCACACAGACAAGACGTCTGGGAATGTACTAA